AAAGACGAGATTAGGGGTAACTGTAGATGTAGGTTTTTGTTTAAGCTGTGTATCCAAATAGCATTGTGGGTAAAAAATAAATGACAACATTTAGAAACCCCGTTCCAAAAGGATAAAATCAGATACCGTCAGTTTAAGTGTTTAAATGTAAACCCTGCTTTTTTCTTTTTTTCGCCTCCTTCTGTTTGTCTCACACAAGCCTTCTGCACAAGCCTGTCACTATCTGATCCATCCCTGAAGCACAATCCGTACCATCAGCTCATTTGTGCATGTGCAACCAGTTATACATCGCCATTAATAATGCAATTATGGTACTAAAAGTACTTATTTCTATCCTTAAGTCAATAAAGAATGCTGTTACGAATCTTTAAAAAAATAGTCTTTTCTGAGACAATTTAAAGATTTTTACATTTTATCCATTAAACTGCTTCTCTGACGTCGTCATCGAACACGCTCAGAGCAGTCTGGCAAAATATGAATAAACTAGGGCAGAAACGATCGAATTAAACAATTATTAAAATATTTGTCAACTAATTTAGTAATCGAATAATCGTTAAATGGAGTATAGAGACTTTAAAACATGCCTTTAGCTGACAGAGTGACCCGCTAAGAGCAGTAATTATATCGAAATTGTAACAAAAATAAATAAATATATATATATATATATATATATATATAACATCTAAAACAGCTTTCTGATGTATCAGGGAAAAAAAAAAACAAGAAAGAGAAAAATTGGTCCCACACACTAATTTAAATCCATTAATTCTCCCCGTTTGTCCGACAGGTTCACAACTACAGCGGTCCCCTCCGGGTCCGCATCTCGCTTGTGACAAAGAACCCGCCGTACAAGCCCCACCCCCACGAGCTGGTCGGGAAAGACTGCAAACATGGCTACTATGAGGCCGACCTGCAGGAGAGACGCATTCACAGGTGAGTGTTTGTGGGTCGGAGATTAAATCGCCAAGCTTTTTTATGTGCCGCTTTCAAAGCGAAAAGCAAAGCAAAAGACAAGAAAAACCGGCTTCTTTTGACTCGCAGAATATACCTGCAGATAAAGAACAAGAAATACAGTCGCTTATAAAAACAGTGCGACTGAAATTAGTTGCAGATCCTGCAGGATAAAGAGGCGATTTATCCAAATCTTCCTTTATCTGTAGAGGTTTCATCTACCGCCTCGCTGAAACTGCTGGATGGCGATAAGTAAATCATTAACTGGACCCGTTCTGACCTGTTGAACTTCCTCCCAATGCTCAGATTTATTTATCTCTTTTAAAGGGACGTTTTTCAGGATATATTCTGGCCAAAGCAGGAGGCGGCCCTCGTTCACGTGTTCAAAACAATCAAAAAACTAAAGCTGAGTCATGATTAGCAGTTGACTGTTTGATGCCTTCTGTTGCATAACTGAACTGGTCCTACTAGTGAGAGGGAGCTTTGTTTGTCTGGTCTAAAACCAGACTGAAGAAATGTCCTGACTGTCAACATTGTGACGTGGTGTTAGTAAACCTGCAGGGTACATTAGTCATTTGTTTTTGATTTAGATGAAGTTGAAAGTATGCTGGATTAAAAGAAGTCAAGCCTTTAGCTTTAAGGGGAATTTTAATTAGGTCTACCTGGAAATGAAACATACGGAAGAGGATTAGGGCCACTGCGAAAATGTAATTAAAAAAATTTAATGTTTTATTTCAATATGATATAGGAAAAAGTCAGAATTCTGACTTTTTTTCCTCAGAATTCTGACTTTTTCTCCGAATTCTGACCTCTTTTTTTCTTCAGATTTCTGAATTTTTTTTTTTCAGAATTCTGACTTTAATCTTACAAATCTGACTTTAGTCCCGCAATCCGGACTTTAATCTCAAAATTCTGACCATGAGGGAAGAGATTGTAGTATGGAAGAGGATTAGGGCCACTGAAAAAAATTTAAAGTTAACTGATTTTTGAATTTTATTTCAGTATAATGAGGGAAAGAAATTTAATTCTGAGATTTAAGTCAGAATTTTGACTTTTTAAAAATTAAAGATTCTTCTCTATAAAATCTTAAAAGACGTAATTTTTCATTAGTATGGAACAAAATACGGTTAAATATTTAAAATGTTTTCCTTCGGTATTGTTATTTATAGAAGACTTTATTCTCAGATTTCTGACTTTAATCTCAGAATTCTGATTTTATTTTCAGAATTCTGACTTTTTAAAAATTTAAAATTCTTCCCTATCTTAAAAGACGTAATTTTCCATTAGTATGGAACAAAATACGGTTAAATATTTAAAATGTTTTCCTTCGGTATTGTTATTTATAGAAGACTTTATTCTCAGATTTCTGACTTTATTTTTAGAATTCTGTCTTTTTTTTTTTCATACTTTTGAATTTTTTTTTCAGAATTCTGACTTTAATCTCAGAATTCTGACTTTTTTCTCAGAATTCTGACTTTTTTCAGATTTCTGACTTTAATCTCAGAATTCTGACTTTATTTTTAGAATTCTGTCTTTTTTTTCATATTTCTGAATTTTTATTCAGAATTCTGACTTTAATCTTACAAATCTGACTTTAGTCCCGCAATCCGGACTTTAATCTCAAAATTCTGACCATGAAGGAAGAGATCGTAGTAAGGTAGAGGATTAGGGCCTCTGAAATTTTTTTAAAGATAACTGATTTTTGAATTTTATTTCAGTATAATGAGGGAAAAAATTCAGAATTCTGAGATTTAAGTCAGAATTCTGACTTTCTAAAAATTAAAAATACTTCTCTATAAAATCTTAAGAAATTTTTTTCCATTACTGTTGAACAAAATACGGTTAAATATTTAAAATGTTTTCCTTCTTTATTGTTATTTCTAAAACAAAAAACTTCTAAATAAACATATTCTTCATGTATTGTGAGTAAAGATAAAAAAAAACAGTTTAATTCTACCAAGACGTTTGCTTCTAGGGAATGACACGGGGAGCTCTGGAAAGATAGGGAAGTTTACAAGGATATATTTTATGAAAAGATCTTTTTAGTTGCTGGTTAACTTAACTTTTTTATAAACGTGAAGAAGAATTAATGCTATTCTTGGTAATCAGCAGTCAAAGCCTCCCTGTAATGGTTTCCTCTGGTGGGTTTTGACCTCATCCTGATAAGCTCCAAGTCTGTGAAGGTTGAAAGGTCTCATTGCCCTTAGATCCCATTCCAGTCCAACTCCTTTAATATAATTTCCAGTTAGACTGTGCAAAAAAAAAGAAAAAAAAAACACAAGTGTGGTGTTCATCTAAGACTTGATCTGCTAGTGAGTTCATTTGAGTTTATCTGAAATATACATTTACATACATTTAAAGCTTCTATTATGTTCAGGCGTCTGATAATTGGCCTCTATCCAAATAAGTAGGGAGGGAATTTAGTTTTAAATATAAAACTAAATATAAATTGAACCGTTTAAAAAAACGTGATCTCTGTCAATGTGTTTCTGTTTATTTCCTCATCAATCAAGCACCTTTCTGCCAACATGAAGTAGGCTAAAGGAGACCAGTTTTGCATGAAAATTAGACGTTTAATCCTAATCAGTTTTAAATCCTAATCGCCTTCCAGGAACCAAACCTGTCATGTTTGCTTGTTCAGTTTTCAGAACCTGGGCATCCAGTGTGTGAAGAAGAAGGATGTAAATGAGGCCATCACTTGTAGACTGCAGACCAACAACAATCCATTTAAAAGTAAGTGATCTTTTTAGAAATGTTAGAAAGATTAGTACTTTTTCTGTTTTTTTCTGTTGAAAGTAAATCTCATTAGGTTTGTAACTTTACTTAACAGGAAGTCTAGTCTGACTGCTGTACTGAGCCATTACCCTCCACACCCTTTCCTTTCTCTGTTTTGATTGCAGTTCCTGAGCCCAAGGTGTGGGAGGAAGAGTTTGATCTGAACTCTGTGCGGCTTTGCTTCCAGGCCTCCTTCTCCCTGCCCACCGGGGAGCGATTTTCTCTGGAGCCTGTGGTCTCGCAGCCCATCTTTGACAATAGTGAGTTGGAAAAAGTGTGCCGCTTTTGGCAGATCAAAGCAAAAAAAAAAAATGTATGGGTAGGATGAAGGAGCTGTTACTCTTGTATTTACATGTAAATGTTGCTTCTGTCCAGAATTGTTCAAATGTTTGGGATTAGGTCTAGTTTTAACTGTGCTACGCCCATAAAAATATTAAATAGCTTTTAGTGAACATATCCTGCAGAAGTAAAACTTTTTCTTTGTTAATTTGCTTTACAACCTACAACTATTTATTTTATAAAATGTTTATTCTATTGCAATCGACTGGCTAACTTATATGGTTAAAAAATAGTAGGGATGCACGATATAATCGGCCCCCTATCGGTATCGGCCTTAAAACTGAATATC